AAGGCCAGAATGAATTTGTCCACCTTTCATATTACCACTTACCTTGTTAGCATTGCGAGTTTGGCAGCGATCAGTGAAGTTCGCTCCGTGTACGATCATTGTATTGATGACTGTTTCAAGTATGTTCGTTTTACCGTTCGTACAGAAACGTTCAACTCAAGCACTTTTTCTTGCCTCCGATGCATGGACCTCACGGAGTTTGAGGCCATACTTACCAAACTGTCCTTACCTTGCCTCGAGAGCTTTGTCCAACACCCACTCTGTTTATCGTTGATTTTTAACTGTTTTTTTAACTGTTCGAAGATCGTACCATGGTGTGTGTGTGTGTGCCGACACTGATCTCATGAAATGCACCAAATTTGGATTTCTCGTCATCACTATTCCTCTTCCATTGCGCCATGGTTGACAATGGTTTGTAGTGACTTTGGATGTCTTTGTTCTTTCAAGGTCATTTGGGGTGACGTGAGCATGACTGCAGCTTACAGCTGTCCGTGCACCACTGACTCACCACAATTACCATTTGCCATGCCAAAGCACAAACTCGCTGTGGCTATCGCATCCGTTTTAAAACCGATTTGGATATGCGAAGACCATGGGCATTGAAATACTGTTGTCGCGGTGATAAATCGTTTTTTTGCGACGTATTCTCGTGAAAATTGAAGATAACTTGATGTAATTTCGTATTTCGGGTTCCCGTTCGATTGCTGTCCATCTTACCCCCTCCTTTGTATTAGACTATCATTTTCGTACCACTTTCACATCTTCCTTCACTTACTCACTTCTATTTTCATCCGGAGCCGAGGAAATCAAGGCTAATGGTTGTGCACAATTCATTGATAATAATTACTCTGATTCATACAGAACCAAGTGAATTGTCCTTGTCTATCGTTCATGGAATCAAGTGGCATCCACTCATTGGGGTTTCTAGCCCGTGCACGAACCAACGTACGAATTGCCATCTTCGTCATTCGATAATAGGAATTTGGCTTACCGTATTGGTTTATTTGTGGAAATGGAGTCTGCTAGCATATGCGGTTCGGCATGATTTTTGCCACACATTAAACCGCATTCATTTCAAAAAACCTTTGAACCGCATACCATAGTTTTGCTTCGGCATCAGATACTCCCCTACCTTCTGTTTAGAACGTGAAAAACAGACGTGGCCCTATGCATACATATTTCCTATTTATTAAACACGTTCTCTGTGGTAGTCATCGATTGGGTTCTCTCATTCACTTTACCACCAAACGGTTCTCTTTGGTGAACGTGTTTTTTTTCAAATCTCTCATTTGTTATGAAACAATACGTTTATTTATTCCCACATAATCTCGTTTCGTCATTTTTTTTCCAGACATGACGTTTGAAGAGTAAACCGAAAAAAAACATTTGCCGTTGGGTTTACAATTTTTAACTGCACCGCCTGAATAACTACGCATTCCGTGTGATTGATTGTTCATCGTGTTGGTCCACCTGTATGTATGTGTGCGAATATTTGGCACCATTCATAACAAGGGTTTGAGCACAATAATAATAATAATAATAATAATAATAATAATAATAAATGGTTTTCTCGCATCTTCGAGATCGAAAATTTCTACGAGTGCCTATTTCATACGGGTTCTGCGGATTACCCTAGTTTAGTAACGGTACTCACGTGGTGAAGGTCAGTCACCACCAACTTATCTCTCCAGGAACACGCATGTTTGAATCCCACCGCCGCCGCTGCCAAGATTCCCCACTTTCTATAAACGGCATCCCTTTTAATTGTTCGTATCATTACATATGTATTTAATGAGAGGAAATACAAAGGAAAGAAGCGAATTGCACCCGGTAGTTTGGACAGCAACAAAACAAAGTGTAAATTTTCTTATATTTGTATTGTATTGTACTGTATTTGGAACTCTTAACATTCAATTGAAAAAGCACAAGCCTTCGTCAAGCCAATATCATCAGTGAAGTGCTTCGATCGCTGTAATTGTCCATAACGCGGATCACTAATCACACATAAATGATGAAGACGTTGTTACGTTGATTTCGCTTCCGTTGATCTGATATTTTCGTGACCTGATTTACTTGGTTTCTTGCAACTACGTGAATTGCACTTCTGATTCCCATTGTTCGGAACTTCATCATCATCATCATCATCATCATCATCATCATCATCATCATCATCATCATCGTCGTCGTCGTCATCATCATCATCATCATCATCATCATTGTAACATTTTTGTACTTTTTTGGAGTCGAATAATCCTCTATAGAACATTTAGACGTGGCCCTTCGAAGTTGCGCGTCACTTAGTGTTGGCCTCGATAGTCGTTTGCATTTAACACAATAGTTTCACATCGTTTCCAACTATTACAATGACCTTTGGCCTGCCCATGTTCGTCAATGCTCTAACAAGTACAACTGTGATTATCGCTCCTCCTTTAGCACAGTTGTTGGCCAACTTCCTTGGGTGAATTACCAATTGTCCAC